TAGCAAGCAATTCTCTTTGAAACATCACTGCATTACGTAGTTTGCAATGAATTTAGCGATCTTGTTTTGTTTAACAAAACATTTTAGAAAAACAGTACACCATACACTAGAGACGGGAGAGACCTGTATGCTTTTTCCCAAAGCCTCTCTCTCTAGTCTTGAAGGATGAATCTGAATCAGGGGAAGCTAATCACCTCAAGAAACCATCAGCACTGTGTCTCAACCTTCCCCAGTTCTCTCTGTGTTCAGACAGGATCTCAGGCTGCTGGAGCTGATCCAGCCAGCCTGGATTAGCTTTTTTTTTTTTTTACTGCGTTGGCTTACTTGGCCTCCACAAAGAGTAGAAGTCACCAGTGTCCTCTACTAGAAGTTGTCTTTTAATGAAGTGTCCTACTTATAGTTCCTACCTCATGGGTGAGTGAGATAAAATCAAGGGAGAAAGTCCACCAAGGTAAATACTCTTGTTCAAGTCATCTGAGCCCAAGCTATAGACAGCTGTGACAACAGGGGTGATTTTCATATGTGTGATGTGACTATCTGCTTCTGATTTTACATGGAGAGCTAATACTTAAATCAGGACTTCAGGCTTTGCTGTGTGGTGGTGGTGGGGCGGGGGGGCATTGACAGGCTAAGACCTCAGGAATGTGTTCAGATTAGATAGAAATTGAATGTTGCATTAGTTTGGGGCCTCTGTTGGAACCCTTTCTGAGGTGTCAGTGTGTACTATGGTTCTGTGGGTGCTCGTGCACCTCTACAGGCTGAAGAGGGCCAGCTGGTCCTGGTGGGTATGTAGCAGGCGTGTCTATGTGGTTAAAGCTGTGAGCATTCTCAGCACACACTGCCACCTGAGCTCAAAGTGCCTTTTCAAGGGGCTGCTTGGAACCCAGTGCTGGAAACAGATCAGGTCCCTGTCAACTTTGGCCAAGTCAAGCATTCATAGAGCAATTTTCACACCAGTCCCCTCCAGCCTCTCTGTAGAAATGTGCAATATTGCTAAGTGGTTGGGACAGACAATTTGAGTCTCAGCCGAGCTACTTATTAGCTCTAGTGTAATCATGTGCTAAGTTACTAAACTGCTGTGAACCTCAATATTCTGGAAGCTATGAATTCAGAGACTTGTAAGCTCTGTGATAAGAATGCTATGGTAGGAGATTAGAGGGTCCCTAATAGTTCTGCCATTTTATGTTGTGGCCCCCTTCTTATCCCTTTAGAAACAGACTTGTTCTATTTTCTTTCTCCAGAGAGAAAACATGGAGTGTCCACGCTTTATAGTTTTTAAATATTTGTTTTCTGATAAGCCCTGCTGGGCAGCTAATGGTTAACACCATTCTTCCCTAGTCCGAGTCTGGATGGGCCTTGTGACAGGAGGCTGGTATGTATGGGCTCTGCCTGCTGTGAGCTTTCAGGGCAGACCATATAGCCTAGGCCTTCTCAAACATCATTTGAACCAAAATGCCCCTAAAACGTGGCAAGCCCTGGGGAGAGAGGACAGAAGCCCAGGTATGAAGCCAGGACCTACCTGGGCCTTTTACCCCAGCTCTTAGCAGCACCCGTCTATGTATTCCTCCCTCCCTGACTCAAGATTAGCCTTTCATGGCAATGGCCAAGAACAAGTCATAAGTGCAGCCTCAGATAAGTGGCTGTGGCCACCTTGGTCCCCTGGGGAGGGACATGCAGTGTGCTGGGTGGACAAAACAATGGGGAAAGAAGGATGGCTCTGAGGTTGCCGAATGAAAGATCTAGAAGCTGCCCAGGGCTGGGTGCACAGGTGTTGCATTGCAAAGGTGTTTCTGGCTGAGTGGTGTCCGAGGAATAAAGGCTTTGTTGGGGAGAGCACAGAGGGGTTTTGTTTTCTAGGACCAGCACGTACCTGGGCTGGAAGACAGCTGATAAGAGCCCTCTGCTGATTAGCTGCTCTAAAGCTCAGTGGAGGGAGAACATCTTCTTTTTCCTCTACTTCAGTCTAGCCCCAGGAATAGAAGGGCCCTCTCCACCACCTTCCCCAACTCTATCTGAGCTGAATGGGAGCTCAATGGTGAGATGAGCCATCATCAAGAGCCATCATACAAGAAGGCTTTGCTTAAAAAAACTTAAAAATAGAGCAGTAACAGGGCGTTCAGGTTATCTCCATAATTAAATCACAGCCAGTTCCCACTGTTCTCCCCATGCCATGCACCTCCTTAAGTAGGAGAGGAAGCCTGCATATAGAAGCCCAAATTAGCCACAAAGAAGTGGAGCACTGGGATCACTTGGGGGCGGGGGGCGGGGGGTGGGTGTGGGTGGGGGGAGAGGGAGTCAGAGCACAGCGTTTCCCTGTGTCTTTGCACAGATTCGTCTCTGTCAGAGACCTACCCATCACTTGGAGTTACCAGGGCCACCAACTCCCAGATGCCCCTGGGTAACTCTTCTGAATTCTTTAAGATAACAATGCAGAAGGTATCTGGCCTTTCCTTTCCCGCTAAGAAAACAGAGTCATGGCACGTTAGTGTCCTGTAGCCCCTCATGTGTCCCTCTGTGGGACACTTAGCACACTAGGGTATTGCCACAGCCACTGTGTGCAGTGCTTTTAACTTTAGGTACTTCATTCTGTTGAACTGATAAATTCTCAGAAGGTTCTGAAAATTTTGGCCTCACCAGATGCTCCCTCCCAGAGAAATCCTTTGTAAAGCCAATCATTTGTAGGCTAGGTTTAGGGAATAGACAAGGGCCACTGGATGGATTCCAGATGCTTTCATGCATCTGTTCCTCCTCAGGTTGAGTTCCTAAAGATCAACGACCATCGTTAGACTTGCTCCCCCAAGTCTAACACTACACACAGCACGAAGTAAGGCTCAACCGTGTTGTCCTCAACACATGTATGATATTACATGCTAGATTCTATGTTTGTGTTTCCGCAATACAACCCTTGAGGGTTATGGCTCTGTATCCATTTTGCTGAGAACATTGAGGCTCAGAGGAGTTAAATAATTTTCTCATGAGTTGACAGTTAACAGGAGTGCAGTCCAGATGTAAACCCAAGCTTTATTCCTAGATTCTGCATCTACCAGTTTAGTTCAACCTCAGAAACATGCTGAAGTTGCTCAATTAGAAACCAGAGACACTTAGGCAAGAGTTATTCTCAGTCACCATGAGAGGGGGGCATCATGTCAAGATTATAACTCATCTGAGCATTCACATGGCATCCAAAGGCCCTTCTCTCCCTGGGTAGTCTGTTAGGAAACAAAAACATACCACCCTCTCTTTCATGTCTAATATCAAAACAAGTATTGATGCAAACTGGTCATCAGCATTGAATGCCAGAGCAAAAGACAAATTATTTTAGTTTCCTTGTTTTAAGATGAAAAGACAAAAGGAGACTCAGCTACCCAGGGCCCAGGGTAAACATACCTTTTCACAATAATCCATTTAGATGAATGGATGAGAATAGACTGAAAATAGTGCCTACCCAAAGCTTCAGACAGGGAAATGGAAGTGCAGTCAGTGTATTGTGCTCTAAAGCGACTCAGTGGAGAAAGTCATTCTATTCCAAAGCACTGTTCTTCACCTCTACATGCTAGCCTGGTCTTTGCTTTGTGATGCTGTGGCAGTTGCTCTGCCCTTAGTCTAGCTGTCCCCACTGACCTGAAAATGATGCCACCCTCTGCCTGTAGACTCAGCTCCATCTGGTGTTAGCAAGACTCTCCTAGAACTGACATTTATTTTTAAAGGTAAAAAATAAGTGTAAAGCAGGATAAAAATAGCTCCCTGGGAGAGGGACTGATTGGAATATATTGTATACATGCATAGAAATGTCACAAGGAGATTCCTTCTCATATAGCTAATATATACTAAAGACAACAACAGTAACAAGAAAAATAAACCCACATTTTTTTATATTAAAAAAAAGCAACAGAACAAATGACAACACAAAAACCCTCCCGACTTACACAGTGAAGTAGCGCCCAAAGCCCTGGCATAGAGCAGGTAGGTGGTTAATGGTTGCAGCCAGGGAGCTGGTTATTCAGCAGCCCATTTGGAAGGCTGATGCTACTTGCACTGAGGAGAAGCTGAGCTCCAGGGAGCTAGTCTGGCACTGAGGGGAGCCTCTGGCCTGCTCCCTCTCAACTGAAGATCTGAAGGCCTGGAGTCCTGAGCACGCAGCAATCAACTCAAGATGTGAAGTGAAAGGCCTCAAAGTTGCCTGAAAATCCTAGGCCTACGAGCACATTACCTAACCTGCCCCTCAGGAACTGTGGGGTTAAGTAGGAAACACATGAAAATGCCCAGTGCTGCTGTCTTCATTAAGCTTCCCAACCAGCCAAGAACCCATTCCCTCTCCTTCACAATATGCTGAGAAATACATTTTAAGTTGAAATGTATATGTAATAGCCAGGTATTGTGATTCTGTCCTATAATCCCAGCACTTAGGAGATTGAGGAGGAGGATCTTGAGCTTGAGGCTACATGGTGAAACCCTATCTGAAAAAAAAGAAAAGAAAAGAAGAAAGAAAGAAAAGAAACAGAGAGAAAGGAGGGAAGGGGGAAAGAAAGAACATCCAGAGCATATATAGAAGACATCAAAAATCCCAGGCAGTGGCAGACTATAGGACATGTGTAGGCTTTAGGAAGTGCCCTCTCCCACCCACTGGCCCTAGGCTGTGTTTACCTTATCTTCATTATGATTATACTCTTTTCTTTGGCTTACTGTTTATTGACTGGCATTTACAGAATGTCACCTGCACCCCCTGCATGGTACACAAGTTTTTAGGGGCAACGTTGTATCTTCCAACACAGAGCATTTCAACAGGGCCTGGGGAAGCACAGGCCAGGGAAGGTTTACCCTCTTCTGGAACCCCTTGCTTCCTGGTTCTTCCTTCAAGCATCCATTTAAGCCATGTGGTTCCTCTCACCCACTGGCTCTTAGCAGTCATCCCAAGTCCTGCTCTGGTCTCAACTGCCTATTGCCTTTCCCTTGCCTGTGGTCACAGCCAAAAGAAGGGGTAGGATAGTGGAAGGACTTACCTGATGGTTTGTCAGTAGAGGATGGGAGGCTAGTGAGGGCAGGCATGGTGGGCAGAGGGGGTGGCAGCACCTTCAGGTTCTGGTCACTTTGGATTTCGTTGGTGGAGATCTGGTTGATGATGCGGTTGTAGGTGGGTGGCTGGTAGACCCGCGGTGGGGTGGCAGGAGGCGGCTGGGGCATGGGCCTGGCTGCAGGTACCCTCTGGCAGTGCTCCTCCAGCTGAGCGATGACCTCTGATTGGTTGTGGGCCAGTGTGGCCAGGTGCTGGTACTTGTGTTCCAAGTCCTTGTACTTGCTGGCCAGCTGCAGCATATCGGCTGTCTGGTTCAGGATTCGGTTTTCCAGCTGGGAGAGCTCCAGTGCATTGTCCCGTTTGCGGATGATCTCATGCAGGAGTTGCATGTAGAGCTGCGTGACACGAGAGTTCATGTTGCGGCTTTCCTTGCGCAGCAGCTTTACCTCGCTCACAATGCCACCGTCCACTTCTACCAGCTGCTGCAGTGTCTCGATCTGCCGCTTCTGCTTGAGCAGCTCATTATTGAGCAGCTCCAACTCCTGCTTATGCACTCGGTTCTCTAGGAGCACCTCAGGCTCCTTGGAGTTGACGCAGATGGCACCCGTGACCCGCTGCTGGGGCACGATGAAGGTGTAGGTGCACTTGTCTGGGGACTCACCTGCTCGCTTGTACCTGTTGAGGTAAATATACTCTCTTTGTGAGCCTTCTTCTGTGCCCTCAAAAGTATCCTCAGAGCCTGCAGCAGCTCCCAGAGTGGCCAGCAGTCCCAGCCACCAGCACGTCATGCACAGTGGACTCATGGTGCTTGCAATGTGGTGGTTATTCTTTACAAATGAATTTGTGGTAGCCTGAAAATAAACCAGAAGGGAGAATCAGTGACAGCCCCATTCATGCCAGTGGCCTGTGCAATTGTGATCCTGGCCTTCCGGCCAGCTAGAGCATTCCTCGAGTACAGGTTTGGAAGCCACACTGTACTCCCCTGGGGCCATAGGTGAGCAGCTAAAAGGCTAAGTCAGGCCTTGACAGAGATACGAATGAGGGATCAGGGCCATGGTCCTGTCATTTCTGGAGCTTGAGAACCAGGTCTGTGCAGCTTGACACTGGGGAGAGGAGGTGTAGGGAGGGCTTTCCCATCCATGTTCCTTTCCCTTTGCGTCAGAACCCTCTGACCTTTACATTTCTCATTCTACACTCAACACCAGAGTTTCCCATATAGCATCTAGATCTAAGCTTCCTGAGAGCAAGTACTGGATCCCTCTCTCTAGAACATGGTATTGGTCAGGCTTCCAGCAAGTATGTATTAAGTGAATGAATGCTCGACACAGTATGGAATGTGTTCAGTTTGTAATGGACAATGTCAATAGAAAAGTATGTCCGGTCACATGGCTGTGATCTGTGTGTTAGCCAGGCTACAGAGCCCAAACAGGAACAAACAACTGAGTTCTTCTAAACCCAAATATTTTCAACAGCCAGTGGCTGCAAGGTCTCAGTCATTGCACTGTGATCAAATCAGATGAGGCACATGTCTCCTGACTTGTTTTAGTTCTGCTCTTGGACTATTCATCCCTTCCCCAGCATAGTGTCCAGCAAACACTATGGTGTGCCAAGCAAGTGTGCTAGCCACTAGGGACATTGCTACAAACAAAATGAGCCCACTCCTGCCCTCACGTAGCTTCCACATCGCCAGAGATCCCCAGTGCTGTAAAGCAGCAGTCTCACATGCTGTTGGAGGGTACAATGGGTCATTGACCTAATCAAGAGGTCAGGAACACTTCCCTGAGAAAGTGGCTTGTACCCTGACCCTAAGGCGATGAATAGGACTTAGATAGGACCACGGGGAGGGAGGATGTATGCTTCCCTCCTCTTGGCCCCCTGAGGGTATTGCTCCAGCAGTCTTCCCCATCTCTCTTGGCAGTTCAAGTTCATCTTATACTCTTGCTACTGTTTCTTGAAACTTGCAGAAAATCTCTTGACTTCACAGTCCCACTCCTGTTATTATTCCATTTCTCTTCTGCACGTTGTCAAAGCCTTCTAAAGAGTTGCCTGAAAGTCCTTTTCCTTTCCACTCCTGAGCCCACCATGTCAGTTCTTGTCCTTCCTGTCCACTCTTGTGCTCTGGCCAGGTTGCCTGTGGCCTCCATTTGCCAGATAGATAACCACTTCAACACTTGCCTGCCAGCACTGTGGGCATAGATGGCGGCTGCCTTCTTGAGTTTTCTTTTCAGAGCAGCCTGTCATCCTGGCCCACCTGGTGCTCCTGCTCAGCCTTCTTGGCTGATTCATCTTCATGTTCCTTCTCCCCCTCCCTTCTCCCTTCATTTTCCCCTTCTTTCCTCCCACCCTCCTCCCCTCTCCTCTCTTCTCTCTATAACCCAGCTGGGTTCTCCCCTTGAGTCTACACTCCTCCACCAGAGCTCAGCTGTGGCCTGATAGACATGAGCCTTCACCCTCTCTGACCACACAGAAATGGGCCTAATCTAGTTGTTAGTTGTAAAAGCACATTAGCACCAACCATTTTCTAATTTCACATTCATTTGTGCTAAAATGTCAGCCATGACACTGGCCCCTGGACCTCTGGGGCCTTCTCCAGTACGTACCCAGCTCCAAGCTGCACCTTGTGCCAGTCAGTTGGCAGGAATGCCTAAGACCCTATGCTCCTGAGGCTGTGCTGGGCTCCTTTTTTACTGAAAGTCAAAGCTGGAGCCTGGTTCCAGTGGCCAATGCAGGCTATGGGCCAGGCAGAGAGGGGTCATAGAGCTAGCTTCTGCTCTGGTTCTGTGGGGAGGCATAGCTGCAGTGATGTCAGTAGAAACCAGCTGCGTTTGGAAATGTTTGCCTGGTTTCCAACTCATTTTGGCAGCCCTGGAGCTGGTAGCCACTCCCACCCCAGAACAATGAGGAGGAGCTGCACCTTCTGTAGGCAGCTCACCTGCCTTAACTGGTGGCAAACAGCTCTCCACACCAAGCAGACTGGCCTAGATGATGGTCAAGAAACTACAGTGTGCCTGGGAGGCAAGATGGCTGCATGAAAAGCTTGATTTCCCAACTTTTCCAGGCCTCCTGGCTCTGGAGGCCACACAGTATATCATTGAGTTCTGTTTCCTTCCAAGCATGGGCCCTCAGGGCTTCTTTGGAAACCTCTTGCCCTTGGTCTATAGATCTGGAAAGTTAGGCCTCTGTTACACACTGTATGGAATTGCTTCAGAAACCAGAGGTTGAAATTACATGGTAGCGAAATGAAGGTAAGAGCAACAAAGACAAAAACCTCTGTGTCACTGGGACTGAACAGGGAGTGCTGAGTTACAAAGGCAGTGTCTAGAACATGTTTTCCACCTCCATAAATTCTTACAATTGCCCATGGGGAGACACCACCCGCTAGAGAAGAACTTGGTCCAGGTCACAAAGTCTCTCAGCCCAGAAGCAGTCCATGGGTTAGAGTAGGTCCTGGCCCTGTCTCACCACCTCTACTGGAAACATGCAGGTGTGAGCTTAGACCATAATGTATTGAAAGAACTTTTTTTCTGTCAGTCATGGGGCTTGAACTGAGCACTGTCCCTCAACTCTTCAGCTCAAGGCAAGCACTCTACCACTTGAGCCACAGTGCCACTTCCAGTTTTCTGGTGGTTAATTGGTGATAAGGGTCTCATGGACTTTCCTGACCCAGCTGGCTTTGAACAGCAATCCTCAGATCTCAACCTCCTGAGTAGCTAGGATTACAGGTGTGAGCCACTGGCGCCTGGCTGAAAGAGCACTTCTGAGATTAAACAGTAAGCTAAACTTGCCTTGTGTGAGTTAATTTCAGGTTTTCAAAACCTTTTGTGGATATAGTGGTTTACTTAGCCACTCCAACACTCACAGGCTAGTTCTTAGTATCACGCTTAATTTAAGAGTGAAGAAACTGAAGTTCAGAAAACTGTCAGCTCACTGGTTTGTGGTCATGTTGCTAGTAGTGGGACCAGTCAGTGACAAGGGGCTGACTGGCTTACAGGAAGAGAAGGAACAGGCACAGTGTGGGATTGTGATTCCTACATTAGGCCAATGGAGACATGGGATCCCAGACAGGTGGAGTGACTTGCCCAGGGACACAGGCAGGCAAGAGCCGGGCTGCCAGAGCTGGACCTGCTCCCTGCCTGCCCTCAACTTTGGCTTAGGCTTTAGGCATTTGTTTTCCTTAAGGATTCCACCCAACTCCATTACCCCCTATCTTTTGCTGGTTTGGCAGTTCTGAATGAGCAGTAATGAGTGTGTTTACTTTTGCTTTCTTGAAATTTATTTAGCTAATTGCATCCCAAGAGAAGTCATCACCCCCCCTCAACACAGCACAACACCCACTCACCCTCCCACCCCCACATTCCAACCATTTTCAGCTGGAGAATAGCTCAGCTCCAATCAAAGCCCTGCTCCCCAGTTTCTTCCTATGCCCAACAAAGCAAAGCAAATCCAACTGTTTTCCTTGGCTGGAAATGAAAATAAAAATGACTCTGGAATTGCTTTTCCACATTGCGTTGCATGGGCTTCCCTCTTCCCTCCCCACCAGTGTGGCTGGTGTGCCCAGGCCGCGTGACAGCCTTGCACGTGGGAGGCGCCTCTCTGTGCCTGGTCCCGCCTAGCTTCCAGTGGGCTGCATCTGGCCCCACTTGGCCTGCATGACGGGGCCCTACACTGTATGTCCTCAGCCCTCTTGCTACCACTATGCTGCAGCCCAGACAATAGGCTACTGTGTGGGAAGTGGCATTTGGTAAAATGGAGCTGTATCCTGCCCTGGGGCAAAAGTGGCTGGCAGAGGCTAGGCTTCTATGTTCTTACCCCAAAGGTAAGAAATTAATTAAGTAAAAAAATACAGGCAATTATCACTGTGGCCCCAATACCTAATTTACATCATCTAAGTTAATCTTCCCAATAGTCCTAGGGGCTGGGGAGGGAGGACCCTCCTTGGGAGTGAGGACCCATAATTTCAGAAAAGCCACATGTGGCTACCATTGTGCACTCTGCAGCTGTAAGGGGCGCAGTGCACACACATGATCTTCATAGGATTTGTATTGTAGCTATTTTCTACTTTCCTCAAAGATGTATTTAAGGCTTTTGATGGCAGGACTGGCCATCATTTCCATTTGCAGGTAAGGGAAGATTTGAAGATCATGTGCCCAAATTCCTAAATTACTCCATAGCAGAGCTGGGCAACAAAACCCCAAAGTAAACAGCCATCCCTTGCTATATTGCGGTTCACTTTTTGTGGCTTCACTGTATCGTGGGTTTAAAAAAATATATATGTAGGTAGTGATTCCTCACCTGACACGGGAGTTACATTCCAGAGACCCTTGCGATAGGTGAAAATCTGTGAAGCAGCAGTAAGTGGAATGCGAGATAGCGACGGACAACTATCTAACACTGCTACTTGGCAGAGTTTCACCTATCACAGGGGTCTCTGGAATATAACTGCTATGGTAGGCGAAGGATCACTGTACACTGAAGGATTCCTCCTGTGAAAGTGCTGATGTGCCAGGAAAGGCAGAAGAGACAATGCTCTGGCCCTCTGTGTAGAGGAAGTGAACATAAGTTCTTAGGGTCCCTGGGACTATAGACTGCAGGGGAACCTCAGAATGCAGTTCAGCTCTGCGGAGTTGTTTTGTTCTGAGTCCAAGTCATAGTCCTGCTGGAAAGAGTCACAGAACCCTCAGCCAGCACTGTCCTGTCCATGTGAGCACAAAGGCCACATTCAGGTCAGGAGAGGTGTCCCAGCCCACAGGAGGCCTGAGGAGCAGCCTCTGCGAAGGATGAGAGGGCACTGGAGCATGGGGAGCCACTGCCTGGCCCACATGTGCCTGGCTGTCCCCTGATGTCCAGCTTC